TATATATATAANAAAATAANATACACACACACATATATATATCACACACAGAGACACANACATAGACACACCCACATATATATATATATATCTATATATAATATATATGTGTGTATGTATATACGTGCATACATACACATATATATATATAAATATGTAAATATATATATATATGTGTGTGTATATATATATATATATATACATATATATATATATATATACATAGTACATACATACATACATGCATACTTATATACAGACATACGTACATACATACGTACATACATACTTACATACATACATACATACATACTTACATACATGCATATACAAGTGTATTTATATTACATCTTCAAAGTACATAAATATCGGAGCACTCAAAATTACCAATGCAAGATAGTTCTTCCGTCAAGGAATATTTATCGAAACACAGCGGCAAATATCTACCAAACAATCTCCAGGTAGGAAAAAAGATATGTGCGGTGCTTCCGCTCGCGGACTGTTGGCTCGTATAAAAAAAATCAGCCTCGCGGCTTGACTCGATATGAGGCAGGAACAGGTCGTTGTGAACAATGATACACGCAATATATTGGAGTCATTTATATATCATGGAATGACATGGAACTTACTATAATGCACTATATTCTATACTAGAGGTCTGAGTAAGTAAACAATTAAGAACCCAAGAGAGCAATGTGTGATATCACCGCAAAAATTCCTCCCTTGGTCTTACGATACCACCGTTTGGTGATCGCCTTTACCAGCACGGGCGAAGTTTCGCTTTCAAAGAAGATATCGTCAAAGATCTACTACTGTTTCAAAACGACAATCATGCGCTTGTATTCGATCAGCATGGGCATTTGGCGCGCAGGTATATGATGCCGTATCAAATCTGTACTGTACTATGATTCTACTAAGACACACGAGCAGGCTAACACTGCCTGCATTCACCGGGCGGTTTGTCACTTATATCCGCCCGGATTCACTAGATAGTTCTTCTTTCCAATAAACTAGCAGGGGTTCATTTCTCGGTCTTTTCACTGGTCTGTAATTGCTCGGCAATTGCCTGTTCGTCGTCAGCAGTCAAGCCTCCAAAAGAATTTATAGTTGAAACCATCATATTCCGGATCTACGTGGCAAGATTTAGCAATTTTAGCGAGCATCACAAACAAGAATATCATTTATCTACACAACATACAATATACAATATACAACTTACAATATACATATATACATATAAATGTATGTGTGTGTAGAAATAGATTCATGGATGGATAGATAGATGAATAGATGAATAGATGGGAAGAATATTCGAATGGGTATATATACATATACGTATATACATAATACGTACATATATATATATATGAATATATAAAAATAAATAATGCATACATACATACATACATATATACATATACAT